AAAGTTCGAGGGGGGGGGGTGCAAATCGAAAGTTTGAGGGGGGGGGTGCAAATGAAAAGTTCGAGGGGGGGGTGCAAATCGAAAATTTGCTCCCAAGGGGGCGCCAAATTGAAAGTATGTCCCCGGGCGCCGGGAAGGGTCGCTACGCCTCTGTACCGCCCACATTCCCATGAACTAAATGGAATTTATATATAAAACATATACTTTTATCAGTGTCCCCCACACCCCTGGAAAATGTTGACTGCCCCTCCGCCCCGAAAATATCAATTGCCCCCCCCCCCCTCCCCCGGAGAAAAAAGTCTGAAAGAAACACTGAGTAAAGATGACTTTGTTATTGCTAATTGTAAAATGAAATGGCTGATAGTTACCTGTGGTAACAAGATTATAATTAAAATGGATCAAATTTAATTGACGTAATAGTATCATATCTGAAATTAAACAGTAGGCTCTGATGAAGATATTTAATTCATTTTTTTTTTGCTTTTTCCCAGTCGCATACGCATTGATTCTTTACTGTATCTGTCTGATGCTTATGTTATCTGCGTATCTGGCCTGGTGATCGAGTCATCTGTTTGTCTGGCGATTGAGTTATCTATTTGAACTGTGATTGAGTTATCTTTTCATCTGGTGATTGAGTTATCTTTTCATCTGGTGATTGAGTTATCTTTTCATCTGGTGATTGAGTTATCTTTTTATCTGGTGATTGAGTTATCTGTCTAGGACCAAGGTTTCTTGCCTGCTTCACGGGTTCTATTTTAAGCAAAACACGACAGTGTTAGCTTAATGCTATGCATAAATAGCTTAAAACCAAATGGATGAGAAATCCAATGTTGAAATAAATGCCTTAATTTGTGACCATCTAAGTTATAAAGATAGAACCAAGTTTCGTCACGTGACTGGCTGACCTATTTGTGAGCAGACGTTAGAAGACAGCGCCATTAGTAACCGCCACTGTCTAGGATATTTGCCGTCGTAAAACTTTATACAATGTATTTAAAAATCTAAATAATAAACCTTGTTCTTTCTCTTCCTAAAATTAAAACTTTTTTTTTTAATTTTGTAAAAATCCTTCCCATTCTGTCTCTGTGTCGCGTTTAAAGCAAGTTTACAATCAATTATTTTTTAACGATTTTAATTATTTCCAGAGGAAATTCCCCATTCATCTGCTAGGAAATTTTTGCTCCCTACAAGCCCGCATTGTGGCCGGCGAGCTTACCACTACTTTAAACGTCAATAAAACCACAAGCCGCTGGCCGTGAATAGAGGCTGTAAAAACGAGCCTTCCTTTGTGGCTCCTCTGTTGATTTTTTGGACTTCCTGTCGGCGAAAATAGCTTTTTATTCAACGTTCGTCACGATGCTAACCCCCCCCCCCTCTGCCTTTAGGGGAGGTCAAATCGTGATTGGGCAGGGTTGAGTCTGTTTAATTAAGTCTTGTTAAGTGGTGTGTCCTTAACCTCAGCTTCAATCAATCGGGAGAGTTCGATGCTGAAATACGCGTCTGTTTACATCCTGTATGCCCACTATACACAATGAAATACATTTCTGTTCACTTCCAAAAGTGCAAGTATCGATGCTGAACAATGATCGCATCTCATGAAAAACGCATGTTGTAATTTTAAACAACTCAACATTTAGTTGGGGAGATATTTATTTTGAGTATAGGTTTGGTTAGGTTAGCCTCGCCCCTCCTCGAACATAGGCCGCTGACAAGAGCTTTCCTGTTCTGGTCTAGTCTCTCCAACTGTCCCCAGGTGTATCCTAACCTGTGCTATAGTCTCTCCAACTGTCCCCAGGTGTGTGGAATCTTTTTGGTGTCTTCTTCCAGGTCACGTCTTTAGGTCTTCCTTGGTCGGCCTCTTTTCTTTTTGCACTGTGGATTTTATTCTAGGTAAAGATGTTATAATCTATGTATCATGGGAAGCCAAAAAAAAAGTCGGACAATTTTGACAGCTAGGATGACAACCAACCATGTCTTGCTCTAAATAACACTAGCCCATTTTTCATGAAGGAAAATACTGTTATCCCATAAAAACCTTGACGTTTTTAGTGCGATAATCAACTACGATTGCAGATTATCGTCCTTATTCCAGGATTAACACAGTTTAAACGTACATAAACGTATCCGAAAATATACAAACGCTACAACAAAATTTGATATAATGAATATACTTGGGACAATGTATGTATTCTTTACTTTCGACCAAAACATTGACCTGAATCGATTATTAGATTGACTGCACCACCGTTTCGATGTGTCATGGTATACCACCAGTAAATTGTGAACTTTGGCATTTTGCCCTCCCCCCTCCCCTATTTACCCCCAGTCCCCCATATTCTCCATCAGTCCCACATATTTTCCCCCGTCCCCCAAATTCTACCCCTCCCCATATCGTCCATCAATCCCCCCCCCCATTAGTCCCACCAACCATAGTTTCTCTGCCCCAATATTTTCCCATAGTTATGCATCAGTAAACGTGACGTATACAGCTTTCAAAGCCCACTGATCGTCAACAGATCGTTGGTTTAAAAGGTCAAATGTCAAGGCTGCTCAATCAGAGTACCACGTGACGCGTGTATAGATTCAGGTTCTAGAGCACCGGTAGAGGCCTGGTACCAGGGGCGGAACTACAGTGCCGCCAGACCCCGCAATGCGGGGGGGCCCACGCCATTTAGGGGCCCATTGTCGACCCTGATAGTTTTTATTATAGTTAAAAAAATCTAATTTTCTTGCAATTTTTTACTTAATATTTATTTTGTAAAAAGATTGCAATGGCTGCGGTTTGATTATCTTTATTCTATAGACACCCTCCCCACGCTGTTGGATATTTTTCCCCTTTCTTTTTAAACCATTGTGAAAGCCAAGTCCTCTCTCTTCTACAATTAAACTTAACAAAGATAAGCAAACGTTCAAACCACTTCCATGACTTATTTCCCTTTTTTTAAATAGTCAAATTGGGGTGCTCATAAGTATATTTTAATATATTTGTACTAAACAGATTAAAAAGCAATAACTTCTCTTACTAAATATTTTTTCATAAAGTACTTACTAAAGATTGACCTTGTAAAAAAACTTAATGTATTTAAAATTAATTATATAAATACAAAAAAACATAAAAATAATCATAACACGAGACACCATTACTTCTACAAAGATGTCATGTTTTATATTCTTTTGGTCAGATAGATATTAGTTGAACCCATATAAAAATAAGACTGATTTTCTCAAAACACTCTTTTGCACTTACACACATGACATGATGTAGTAATTTGTTTTAATTAAAAAAAAAACATTTTTTCTTCAAAACCCGAACGAACAGGCCAGCAATGAGTATCCTATGCTCTGTTCGTATTTTGTGTTTGAATATATATATATATATATATATATATATATATATATATATATATATATATATATATATATATATATATATATATATATATATATATATATATATATATATATATATATATATATATATATATATATTTATATATTTTTATATATATATATATATATATATATATATATATATATATATATAGGGGGGGGGCTAAAAAAATGTTTGCGGGGTGGCCATTTTTTTCTAGTTCCGCCACTGCCTGCTACACAAACAGTAGTTGGTGACACCATTTAATTGGTGACACCATTTAGTTGGTGAAACCATTTACTTGGTGACACCATTTAGTTGGTGACACCATTTAGTTGGTGACATCATTTAGTTGGTGAAACCATTTACTTGGCGACACCATTTAGTTGGTGAAACCATTTACTTGGTGACACCATTTAGTTGGTGACACCATTTAGTTGGTGACACCATTTAGTTAGGAGGGGGGGGGGAATTAAAACCCCTTAACGTATTTATGAAAAACATGAACAAAACCGGAAGTCATGAACACGAGATGCTAACCTACTACAGAAAATAAACATTGTGAATACTTTCTTTTAAAAATAATAAATAAATGAGTATCATTTATCATCCATCTGTTTTTGTTTACCTATGGGAAAAAAAATCCATCAAAAAGCGCTGATCAGAAAGACCATTCACACCTCAGTACACTTCAGCACATCAGAGGTGTAGCGAGGGCGGGGTGGGAGGGGGGGGGGAGGTGCGGACCGCATCGGGTGACACGATATGGGGGGGGGGGGGGTTGACACCAAGGCAAAAAAATGCAAGATGCATAGAAGAAAAATGTTTTTGCCGGTACCATTAATGATCTATTAAAGTTAAATAGTCTTTTAAGTACATATTCACAATAATTACAAGGGGGTGGGCGTGACACTATGACGTAAACGCGATAACTATAGAGAAAACAATGCGACGCCACTGCAGCATATCGAACATTCGCATTCCCTCCCGATGATGCCGTCGCCTTAGTGTTTGAACTGTATTTAATAACAGACAACTCCGATAAGAATAGAACGTACACATGCCTTGCTTATTAGCATTAACTATATATAGCCCGTTTATTGTAAGTTTTGAGAGGTCTATTTTTATACACAGTCTACATCGGGGCGAGGGGAGGGGAGGTCGTCGAAAGTGAAAGCGTGTAGACGGGATAGGAGGGAGGGAGGGGCTAAAATTTTTTAAAAATTTTCTTTCTGGACGACATAAATCGATTGATACTAATCACAAAACCTTATATCTTAAGTAATGTTTGCAGGAAGGGAAATATTGAAAAGTGGTTAAAGGGAAAAAACCTTTGTTAAATTGAAAAATGAAGTTTTACTATTTGATTTACTTCCCTGTACAATTTGAAAATATAACACATGTGTAAGTAACCATAACTATGAGCAAATAAGCTAGGCCTACCCACATCCCATCGTCCTATAATTAGTTAAGTAAAAAATATGGTTACTCTTTATTTCACTCTAAATAACAATTAGAACAATTTAGTGTGGCATTTTACGTTTTCGTTTATGAAATTCTATTGAATAATAACATCAGGCCTAATCCTACCTAAATAAAAGTTAACAAACAAAAGCAGTTGTTAGTTTTTGATATTTAGACTAACCTTCAGCATTGTAAACAATTCACCAGTCCTTTCATCCATTCAAATTTATTAGACCGCCTTTGTTAAAAAGTAGATCTAGAATCTAGCTCTTCTTAGTCTTACAATGTCAAGTACAGCCGAAATATTCAACGATTTCCAGACATACCTCAACACTGAACATGATTTAAGAGAGGTTAATAAATTATTCAGCCTTTTATTTTTGTATTGATCAAGCTAGCTGCTAGATTGCTGCTAGTCTGCTAGAATAGAAGTAGAATCTAGATTCTAGCTAATCTAGATCTAGAATCTAGATCTCTGATCTAGGTCTTCTAGAGGCGGCTAGAGGTTTACTTTGTCACTTACATTCGGGAAATAATAATATCTTGAAATACTCGAGTCAAATACCGCCTCAAAAATGTATTTTGATAGTTTAATTTAAAATTTTATTAAAAATAAAATACTTAGGCCTAACTTTAATTTAATAGCCTAACTTACTAACCTAAGTTAGTAACTTAGGCCTACTCAATACTCGGTAATCTATCGTTTTAGGTACGTAAAATCGCCCGCGGCTAGTAATGTATGAAAAAGTTACCTCATTGTCAAGGCTTTAGTAGTTACTAGATAATAGAAATGGGGGCCTAAGATGATATTTCGAGTCGTCCCTTTGAATCCCGGTCAGAACATCCCCCTGTCGTGGCCTCAACCAACCGGCGGGCTTGTTGCATTGAGTTAAATATAATCTCAAAACAATAATATAAACAATCTCCTTTCAGTCTGTCAGGCCACATACCAGGCATGCACAGTGTTGTGTGTCGTGCCTTAACCAAAACAAACTATCTAGTTCTAAATCAAAGTAACCTAATTTATTTATTGTTAGCTGTGAAATACACTGATCTTGTGATCACAGAGTTATACCACAACTATACCTTATTTTTGCAGGAAATCCGAACAGTTGTTAGAGATTTGGAACAAACAGCTCGTGAAATTCAGACAGCCTTGCAAGTCATTCACCAACCATCTCAAGGTCTCAATAGTAAGTATTGTTCAGTCTACATGAACACCATTGATATTTTTCTATAACCTGAGATATTATCCAACATTCTCTATGGTTTCATCCATGTATGACAATTACTGTCATGCTAAAATATTTTGTCTCATTAACTGATGATTGCTATGATAGGCAGAAAGTAAAGATTACTTCACACTTGGAAGAGTTTTTTAACACCAAGATAGCATTTATTTTTTGTATTTTTGTGTAGATAGTAGTTTTAAATAATCTATTTTGTATGTTTTCAGTTTGTGGTCTTTGTGATAATGTTGGGTTACTGTTCAAGAAAATACAAGAGCAATATGCATTTTTGGCAAGCAAAGTTCCTGAAAACCAATATTACAGGTAATTTAGTATAAGTTAAGAGTTGTAAGCTTTATCACAAAGAAAGATATAAAAAGATAAACTTTCCTAAGCCATTTGGAATTTTGACTTGATTATTTCTACTTTAATTTATAATTAAAGTGTGTCTTTAAAATATGTATTTTATAATTTTAAAATTGACACTTTAATTTTTTTAATTGTTTTTTTTTAGATTTAATGACCACTGGAAATTTGTAACACAGCGTTGTGTGTACTTAAGTGCTCTTGTTGTTTACTTGAAAGAGGAGCGTTTGATCTCAAGGGAAGAAGCAGCTGATCAAATAGGATGTAAGCAACTACTCTGTCTTTAGAGAAATTAATAATTTTAGTATAGCAGTCTCTTAGGGAGAAAGTTTCTATCCAACTCTTACATGTAGCTAATGAAAATATACTGTAGTCAGTTAAGCTAATTAAACATTAGATACTGCCTATAAAGTAATGAAATAAGTTTTAAGAATAAAATTGAACCATTTGAGGTGAAAATGTTTATAAATGCATGCATACATAATTTGTTTTTTCTCCTTCAATTTAGTAAAAGTAAAAAGAGAAGATGGATTTCATATGGATTTAGATGATTATCTAATGGGGATTCTCAGCCTTTCCAATGAACTTGTGAGTCTTATATTTATTAATGGAAATACACAGTCTTGCCAATAACTTTAATTAATGAAAATATATTCTTAACTTGACTAACATCTGTTCATTCAGTAATAAAAAATATGATAGCCATTTTAGCCTTTGTAGATTCTGAATTAACAAAGATATACTACATAACATCTAGTTAGCTGAGTACTTGTTTGTCATTTCTTGTTGCTCTTCTTTTCAATCATTCTTTTTTTTTTAAAGTTGTTTTAACTTTAATTTATTAGCCACATAAAATGTTGTATTAACAAAGATATAAAGTGTTGTATTCATAAAGATTTGTTTCTTTGATCACCAGTCTCGCCTAGCTGTAAATGCTGTCACTGCAGGAGATTATTCACGTCCACTCAGAATTTCACATTTTATTGGAGAACTTGATTCTGGCTTTAGGTAAATATATGCACATAAACTGGGACAATTAAAATGCCATTCTATTTTTTGTTTACTTTAAACAGATTTTTCTCTTTTGTTTAAACCCATTTTTTTTATTACTTCTACTTTATTTATAATCCAATTATTGTTTCTTTGTTTTACTGTTTAAGCCCGTTAGATTGTCTTAGGCTGTTAAGCTAAGTTAAAAAAAACACAGAGGCCAATTAGATTCTGATAAAAATTTATAAAAGCATAAAAAAAGGACTTAATAGATAAATTATATTTGGCCTCTAGACCCTGTACAAAAATAATGAAAAGAAGAAACAGTATGATTAAATTGATTGTGATTTACAATTTGAAAATTTTTAGATTGAATTTTTAAAAATTATTGTGAGAATTACTACTGATCATTAACAAATTCAAAACAGATCTCTGTAATAATAAATTCTGTTGTAAAGTCAAATGTCAATGTTTTTCAAATCTAGATTAATTCATCTTTTTATATTCTAAATCATAGAGCTTGTTTTACTGTAGAATACCTCTCTTCTTATTTTATTCTAGATTTCCTTTTATCTTGTTTTATTCCAGATTACCTCCCATCTTGTTTTATTCTAGATTACCTCCCATCTGTTTTATTTTTAATTCCAGGTTACTAAACTTAAAGAATGATGCTCTGAGGAAAAGATTTGATGGCTTAAAATACGATGTGAAGAAATGTGAAGAGGTCGTGTATGACTTGACCATTCGTGGGTTGGTGAATAGAGAGGTTAAAGGTGAATAGTGGACAGTATCATTTCCTTCTGGCAGCTACTGACACAGTCAACACTGGGGTCACACTGGGGTCACACTGAGATGGTAGACCAGTGTTGTTTTATTTGATTTGTTACTTTCTTCAAACTACTGGTTAAATTAAATTAGAATTTAATAGTTTGAGATATTTGCCTCCTTGTTGTCAGGTTAAGAGGCCAACACTGATCCTACAGGATGGTTTAGTGAGTGTTTTGAAGTTGTGTGAGGCGATGGTTATGTGGCTCATGTTGTTGTAAGGATTGACAGTTATCATTTGGTGTGTTGTTGAATCTCTTTAGACAAAATACAGCTATTGTTAAAATTGCATAAATGGTGTTTTATCTAGGGTGGTTTTGTAGTGAGTTCAGAGCAGTGTTAGTGTAATCTGAAATATTTGTTAGTTGCTATCATATAAGTTTATGTTTCTTGTATCATTGATCAACCAAATGTTGAATGTTTTTGTTTTTAAATAAAGTTTCTTCACTTGTTCGCACGGCGCTTTGCTTTATTTGATAGTTTTTTTTTGAAAGTTTAAACAGTAAAACTAAGTCAATCAAATTACAAATGGATGGCCTAAAAATTTAATTACTTAAAATGTGTTAATTAAGCTTCTGTTAATGAACAGAATGAATTTCATTTCTTTGAATATCATACAAAAAAAAACATTTGCTTTGCATGTTTTCGGGTCAAAAAATTCACATTTTAAAATCACCTGCGTGATAGGTATACAAAGTAGAACAGACTAGACACTAGACCTTACGAACTTAAATGTTTTCTAAAGGTAATAAAGAGGATATAATACAAAATATGGACTAGCATGGTACTTTTTAAAATTTATTTTCCATGCCTGTAATACATTTTTTTTTCAAAAAAAACTTTGAGGGTACCTTTAAAGACTTAAAAATAACCAAATACAATAGAGGTTTTTTTAACCCTAACTATTTGAGAGAGTTGTATCTTGCAGATTTCCTCATTACAAATACCAGATGTATATATGCACCACATGTGGGCTCAATATTGGTGCTTTTAAAATAATTCTTATTAAAACAAGTTTAAAAACCTTTAAAGCTACAGCAAGCTTTTAGTTATTTGTAAAAGTGCAAGGCTTTCATGTTTGTTTATTTAGTATTATTTAGTTGATTAGGAATTTTAGTTACATACTTATGAATTCCTTTCACATGTTGACATCCGACACAACTAAAAATATTTGATTTTGAATCCTATCAGCAATTTGCGATCTTAACATTTTGTTATCTCCCCTGTCGCTATTGACTGTAGACTTTTTGAATTAATTTTAATGATTAATTTAATATCTAATTGCATTGAAAATTAGATATCCTTTCGTTGTTATGGTAAGTAAATGTATCTAGTCAACATGTGTTAATTCATTAGAAGATTGTCAAAATTGAGGTGCAAAATTTTTGGACACAAACAGACATGGTGATCTAACTTTGAGCTTGTAAAATTAATACTAGAAGAGTATATACCCTTTGTTTTAATTTTTTCCGTAGATATGAGTGTTAAAAATTCAAGCAGAACATGTTTTAATAACACGTGTTTCAGCAACTACCAATGTAGGTGAAGATGGGGGGCCGGGGGCAAACCAAATCTAAAAGTTAACAAAATTTAGGGGAAATTCCGTTTTATCTAATTAATAAAAGAGGAAGGTGTGAGTGGCATAATCAAACGAAAGCATTACATTGTTAAGAGGGAGATGTTACACCCTGAGTTTCCGCACCAGGTGATACCCCACCAAGTGACCCCTTAGACTTTACCATAACACCAGTAACCAATGTACGGACACTACAGTGAATCATCAAGAATCGATACTGTGTCGCCCCGATCAGATTGTTGGAATGATGCAGTAATCGCCCTGTTGCAATTGTTGGAATAATGCAGTATCGTACACTTAGTAATCGCCCTGTTGAAATTGCTGAAACGATTCATTTCCACTGTAGGAACAACACCCATTGTCCATAAATGACGTCACACTCGTAGGGGGAAGGGGGGTCCGTATTTTGTGACGGTGTGTGATGAGTGGATGGGGGGTTCAGATCGTGTGACGTCACACTTTTGCATAATAAAAAAGCAATGTTAGAAAACGAATCTGAGCCGTTATTTTGCGTTTTAGAAAACTGTTTTAATTAATTGTAATAGGACTTGATTTAAATACTCTATGTTGACATAGTTCAGATTTTGGAAAAAATATCGTATTCTAAGAAAAATTAAACTGCAAATTTGAAGGGGGGGGGTGTAGGTTGAGGTGTGACGTCATTTTAGGGGGGGGGGTCTGGCTTTTTGTGACAATGTTTAAGGGGAGGCAGAGCCGGCGTTAGGGGGTGGCGAACGGGGCGGTCGCCATAGGCCCCGCGCTTGAAGGGGCCCCGCGCTTCAGCAATGCCATTGTTATCTGAATTAGTTTGTAAACTTAAAAAAATTGTTGCTGAATTCAATTGGGAAAAACTAAATGGTCGAATGCCGACGTTGTTGATTGTTATAACTGAGACCACGGTTGATGTTGGTGAGTCCCACCTGAACTGGGAAAGGCCGTAATTCGATACAAAATCAGTGTCACACTTCCCCTTTGTGTAGGGTACGGTCGCCTGGCATTTGACCTGAGCTGACTGGAGATGGCGGTCAAGAATTAGCCCACGACGTAAAGAGATACCCTATTGTATGCGGACCGATGAAGACGTCCTTTTAGTGAGCAGACAGTTAGTGACCTGGTGAACTCTAGTCCTGACTTTCTTGTTGTAGATGTCGTATAATGTCGTATATTATGTACAGTGTTTCTTCTTTTCTCCGGGGGGGGGGGGGTGGCATTTGAAATTTTCGGGGGGGGGGGGGGCGGTAGACTTTCTTCGGGGGGGGGGGGGTGGCGGACACTGTTAAAAGTATATATTTTCTATATAAATTATATAGATGCCTGGAAGAAACTCTATATGTAGGCCTACTTGTCTTGGTATAAGAAAATTAACATTTAGTTGCGTGCAGAAGGGTGGGAGGAGGACGACGAGGGGGGGGGGGGGGGGCTTAGGATCTATATCAGGAGGGGGCATTAAACAGAGTGATTTATTATTTTTTGGAAGAAAGTTAAAACTGTTGTTATGTTGTGTCACCTTAAGGATTCACCCGTTCCAAGACAGAATGATTAATTTACCGAATTCATCCAAATTGTTTTATTCAATCGTCTTCCAGTGGTGCTCACATGATGTAGTCAGCAAATTGTCCTCGTCGCACAACTTTGATTGAGGAAGGGGCATCGTTGAGGCAATGGATGGTTGTGATTTAGTATTCATTGATATTCCCCCAATAAACGCGGTCTTTCAATTTATATCTGATACTTTGGTGAACTTAACTGCATTTGTAGAGTGATTAAACACATTATTTTATCGTATGGAAATCATTTACAATAGTTAAGACAATAATGATTTTGGTTTTAAAATATTGTATGAATTCTAAACAAATTTTGAAGTCTATACTGTTTTGATACACCAGGCCAAGTTCGCTGTATTGTAAACTTTATTTTCCTAATTATTCGGCACGTGATTAAATTTTCTTAAGTGATTTGGTATGAATTACATAACTGTCAAAAGTGATTTAATATCTTAGCAAGGAAAAAAAACTAAGAACATTGGGTTAATACATGGGAGAGATAAAAATCTGTTATTATAGTGGAAAGTTTGACATTAGCTTATAAACTCCAAAACATTTGTGTTATTATGTGTACATCACATTATATAGGCCTTATATATATATATATATATATATATATATATATATATATATATATATATATATATATATATAATGGAAAGGCCCCGCGCGGATGGTTGGCCCTAGGCCCCGCGTATTCCTAACGCCGGCTCTGAGGGGAGGGGGTAGGTAAAAATCGTCAAAAAAGGCGTGACGTCATTTATGGATGATCCCCTACCACATATTGCCATTGTGGGAACTAAATAACAGTCCTATAGCGAGCAACTTACATTTTAAATTAAAAAAAAAATAATAATTAATTTTAAGTAAGAAGAAACCAAGAATTTATCACGCTGAAATGATTGGATAGCCTAGGGCTAGGCTTACGACTGACCAAAATGATAAAGAGAAATAATTATTCCGGCTTTTAAGTTGCTATTAGAAAGAAAAAAAATTCGCATTTCTTCTTCGTTCTTAATCGTAGTGTTGGACGGGATTTTCTCAAATACAATCAGGCCCTAAGTATTTAATGCGCCCATTGACTCCGTTATATAGGCCGTTGACTCCGATTTCAGCCTGTTTTTTTTTTCTTTCTGGATTTGCTCCCAAAGACTTTGTCCAGCCAAGAAAAAACTACAAGGCAGCAGATTTTACCTAATAATATAATATTTTACTATTTAGGCTAAAGACTATAATGACTATTGTTTAATCATAGTTTAATATCATTTGTTTACCTAAATAGTAAATGGCTATTAGATTTCAATAAAGATTTTTTAAAAGATTGAGTATTTTGCACTCTTCAAATAGACATATAATAAATCTACTTTATCATTCAATCATGCAAAACAATGTTTTAAAATGAAACTTAATTAGTTTCCCCGCCCCCTCACCACAGATCCCAAAATAATAAATTTGTTTTGTTTGTTTATATTTACAAGCACTTTTTAAAAGTTATTGTTCCCGGTATATTTTTTTGTTGACAGAGATCTGTAGCTTAGCAACAGCATAGTTATTTTCTTCCGGAAATAGGTTTACTGAATTGTGGGAACGAATTCCTGTTGTAGTTCCGTTCAGCGAAATTCAGTGTTGATATTTATTTACATGATGGTTTCCTAATGGTAAAATATATCTTTCGTCGATGAATCCTGTTTACACTTAATAATGGATCCTAAAATAGCTAAGAAAACACAAGACACATTAGGAAAGCTTATTAAAAAGCCCCCATTGACAGAGAAATTACTAGGCAAACCACCGTTTCGATTTCTTCACGATGTCACCACTTCGGTAAGTCACCACAATATTCACCTCAGTACTACTCAGTACTAAGACTGAGAGTACTCAGTCATAGGTAGAAGCTAGGTCTAAAACAAAATCTAAATGCTAAAAGTATAGGTCTAGGCCTAGGAATTGTGATAAAACATTTGTAGGCTAATTTGTACAATGACATTTTAATTTACATTTACACATTCATTGAACTGTAGGCCGTTCGATTCAACACTTCCAGGTTTGTCATTTTCGTGGCATCTCACGGCTCATGCGCTTACTAAAAATGGCGACCAGTTTCGCTTTCACTAAACGGTAGAGGGATAAAACTAATAATAACGAGGCCATCGTTAATTTTAGACATCGGAACTATCCGTTTCTATTTCAGTCTGTTATTTAAGAATTCCCAGATGTACTTTTGACCTAATTTCTTTTTTTGTATTTAACGAGGCCGTCGAGAGAAAGTCACGCTTACTTAGCTTGCGTTTCAAGTCGAATTAACTAAAGCAGGTGCATTCTACAATAACTTTCTTGTAAGATACAATTTGTATAACATCTTTACTATCAAATAAAAATAGAACTGTTTAATATAATTAGGGTGAAAACAATGCTTTTGAGGGTGTAAGTAATAATGCCATTTTATTATATTCTTGTTTGGTGAAAACAAAGCGGGAAAATGTGTGCCGCGCAAGAATCCAATCATTTGGCTAGATTTATGACTGTTTTTTATGTCACACCTAAAAATAGAATGTTTACGCTTTCTTCGTTGATGATCGTTTTTATTATTTTTTAAATTGAAATTAATGTTTGTAACTTGGTATACTTACCCTTTATCAATTTTAAAAACATAGCATGCTGATTGTGAACAAAAATAGTCATAAAACACAGAAATATAAAGTTATAATTGCAATGTGCCACACCCGGGCCACACCCCCTCAAGAAAACACGTGTTTATTAAGCTGTTTATCTCACTTTACAACAGTAATTAAAATTAATTTTCAAATTTTTATCACTTATTGGGTAAGATTAAGCACATGTTTACCAAAAATAAAAAAAATAGAAAGCAAATTCTGTTTTAATGAAGGTCACTGGTGAAGTTTTTTTTCCTTCTGTCACGTTCAGTGGAGGGTGCCACAGGCTGACCTGACTTTGGAATTTTTTTCAGTAATAATGACTTTGCACAGAAAGTTAAAATATGCTAAATTAGCTTAGTTTACTAGTGTTCTAGCTATTATTGATACATTTTTAATAAAAAAAATCATTCTGTAATTCTCATCAAAAAGCCTATGAATTGAATCATTGTCATTGCTGCCATCAAAAGACATAACTCCAAGTCTCGCTGACTTCTGTTAAATAGGGGCCTAGTATATAAGCCCTAATTATTGCAGTACCTGAAAGAAATAAAAGCTTTTTTTGTATGCTAGAAAAGGATCGACATTGTCAAGTCTAAAGGCTAAAGCTCATGGTTGCTAAACTGAAAAGTCTCGAATTTGAACCCTCTGCCAGATGAGGCTCGCTAGCTGGAGACAGCAACTCTTCTAGGAGAGACAACTCCAAAATCAAACAACTGCTGCCTTGTAGTTTGTTCTTGGTTTAACAAAGGCTATGGAAGCAAATCCAAAAAGAAAAACAGGCTGAAATCGGATTCAATGGCCTCAATGGCGCATAACCAAACCAGTTGACACGTAGCCATGAAATAAGTTTTTCGTTTGTGCCTTATATTTGGTATTCTGTGAACTTATAATGGATATACTTTGCAATGAAGTAAATTATATTAGGTAATAATTAAATTAAAAATTTTGTAGGTGATCCTATAAATTAGAAATTGATTATATGTAGGCTGAAATATAATGAGACAGGTTACTATCATAGCCCTTACCTTATTTGAAATTTATGACCCTATTAATAGAAACCAAATATACCTTTTTTTGGAAGATTTTATTGTCTGACCAATGGCAAATTCTCCCATTTTTCACATTAAGCTTTAAACCATTAATATAAGCCTGCTAGGCCTAAACTAGACCAACATTACTTTTGTCAATAGGGGATAAAATGTGATTTGTTAATTGTTGTTTATAAAACCTTTAGTGTATGAACATTGTAGAATCTCCTCAGCAAAAAAACTAGTGACCAGTCACTTACAAAAAAAAAAGTTACCAAATCACAACAAATAACACAATCTAGCCTCTAATCCCAGGAAGCTAAATTGAATGATTGACAAATGTATACATTGTATTGTTTTCTGCAGGTCATCAAAACAACAGGTTTTATGCAGGGTCTATTTACAGAACAAGAAATGAATTCAGAAAATGTCAAGGTAGGCTAGTCATAACTTTACATCTCAAAAATATTTTTATAAATTCTATTTACAATGTAAGCAATTTAAAAAACATTTCTCACATTGATGAGTTTGCTTGAAAATGTATTTAATAATGGTAAATTGTGTAATTTTTTTTTCTTGTTGAAATCATTATTTGAAATTTTGTTTCATATATATCAGCATTATCAATATTCCTGTAAACATCTATCATAAGAAAGAATCATGACATTTTATGTGTCCACATTTGTGTACATTTTTTATGTACTTTTAAGAGTAACTTTGACTTCCAAGCACAATTATGTTGTAATTTCTTCACCAGGAAAAAGATGCAAAAATAGCTTTTTTACAAAAGGCTATTGACATGGTTTGTGAGTAGTAGCTTTTCTTTTATTATCTGTGTGTGTGCGGTTGTGTGGTGTTTTATAAATGCTATCCTATGGTAACTTTGTTGTTACTATTTTTAAAAAGACCAGATATCTCATATCAAAGAATCCTTGTAGACAATTATTTTACTAATAAATTTCTGTTTCAAAATAAATTCAAAATTGTGGACAATGGTAGTATTTAGATATAAATATAAATACACTTTAATAAAGGGCTGCATATCAATTGCATGTAAATTTAGATTAAAGATTTCTGTTACTTCTTGAGCTCATGGATACAATTTTAAATCCACAGCTGCTGTTAATGGCAAACCTGTCAGTGCCAAACCAATCAAAATTGTTGCGGGTCATGAACCGGAGAAAACAAACGAGTTCTTACAGGCATTAGCAGATGCTATCAACAAAAATGTAAGCAACTGTACAGCTTTAGCGCGTGGAGAAATTAAATGGTGTACGATAATCAGGGGTGCCACTTTTCCGGGATATCCCGGATTTCCGGATTGGAGAATCATATTTTTTTCCCTTTCCGGATTCGCAAGATTTGAGTTTGAAAATTTCCGGGTTTGCAGTTTAAAAAAAAAAATTTAGATCGTTTTAAGCTTGAAAATTTTGGCATTGTAAAAATCGTTTTTATCGTCAACACTCCCGCTAATGACCTTTTCCGAAAAAAATGAATAGTAAATGACGTCAGCAACAATCTCACGCGTGCGCCAAGGACCAAATACAAATGGGCTGTATCAGATGGGTGAGGCTGTAGACGGAACTTTTTGATGTCATTCGTGGTGTGGTTGTCTGGCTATTTATGACCATATGGGTTGGGGGTAAAACTCGCATTATTTACGTGATGTCATCAATGGGATATCGCTAGGCTGTGTAATAAAAACAACTAAATCCTACAATTACTAGATCTAGCTCACTAGCATCGCCGATCGTCTTTTAAAAAAAAACAACCGAAAGATTTTGCTCCGATAAAAAAAAATTATTATTTTTTTTTTTGTATTTGGTATTACCAAAAGAAAAGAAAAAGAAAACTATTTGAAGGACTATTTTATGTATGAAATAGAACTGTGCTGTTTTCACTCAACTTTACCCTCACTTTTTAACCACCTCTTACCCGCTTCTTCAAGGTCGCGCTGACCGTAAGACCTACGTCACGAGACCACGCAAGCACAGTCTGAGTCGTGTCTCTCGGTCAAGGCAGTTCTACAAGTACAAGCGCTGTTTAATGTTAACGTGGTTATTTTTAATAAGGGCCTACTTCTAGATTCAAGAAAAAAAACTAGAACTGCATCGTTTTATATCATTAAACAAAATATGTAGGCCTGCTATAATTTAGTTACACAATCTAGCAGGGTCTACATTTAATTTTTTTTTTTCTACTTTGGTAAAACGTCATTGAAATGTTTAAAAAACCTTGAAGTACCGCGTCTGAGAAAATAGCCGCTATCACTGCCCCCTCACAACCGCTTGTAAAAAAAAAAAATCAGCTTTTCACTTAGTCGGGCGGCTACATCTCTGACATGAGTATTACTAGCGTAGTTACTTCTAAAATTATTTTTAAAATTAACTTAATTCTGTTATTCCACGACATGAACTTAAAACTTCCACGATATTTCACGTTCATGTATATCAAAGGTGGGGGCATTGGGGTCGTTCATAAATGACGTCACACTCGTAGTGGGAAGGTGGTCCGTAATTTTGTCATGAGGGGGAGGGGTTCAGATGGTGTGACATCACACTTTTGCATTAACCAAAAGCTATGTTAGAAAACGAATTTTAGCTGTTATTTCGCGTTTTAGAATATTGTTTCAATAAAGTGTAATAGGAATTGAGAATTGATTAAAATACTCTTATGTTGACAGAGGTCAAGCAAGATTTTTGGAAAAATAGCGTATTTTAAGAAACATTCGACTGCCATTTTTAGGGGGGGGGGGGTGTAGGCTGAGGTGTGACGTCATTTTAGAGGGCGGGGTCTGTCTTTTTGTGATGATATGTGACCGAGGGGAGGTGGGAGGTAAAAATCGTCAATAAAGCGTGACATCATTTATGGATGACCCCATTGGTGGTTGATTGGCAAAACAGGGTTTAAGGTTTTTGTTGTGGCTGCTAATCATTAAAGCCTTGAATAGCTACAGTAAGTCAACCCTGCATTTTAATACAGTGACAATCTTATTAAGGGTCTGCATATAGTGGGCTTATTATTCAATAACAAGACATAGAGGTTAGCAAAATATTTGTTACTTAACAGTTGGCTGACTACACACTTTAACTCAAGCTAGGAAGTTCTAAAAAATTAAATAGTTATGTTATAAAAGCTGGCTGGGGGGGGGGGGGGGGGGTTCTACAATAGCACATTATGGGGTAGGCCTAGAGATGGGTGGGACTAACATTGTAAACTAATTTTGTTGTAAGCACAATCCTTTAAAGATTATTTTTTATTTGAAGCTTGTTACAAAGAAAATAAATCCATTTTAAAGGAATGTAAATTGAGCATAATATGAATCAAATGTCTCAGAAAATAATGAAATAATAGTCCATTTTATTTTGAAATTCCGCACGGAATTAAGTTTCAGGGTTTCAAACATTTCAAATTTTAGTTTCAGGATTGGTAAAACTTTGGGATTCATTTTCAGGATTCACTTAAAAAATGAGTGGCACCCCTGGATAATCCAATTTTGTTCATCTATTCATGGCAACTAATTTTTATTAGGTAAACAACGATGAATTTGTGAGGAAAGTTTTAAAAGTTGGAGGAACCGGATCAACCAAAGAGACAAAGAAGGAAGAAAGTAAAGAGAAAGAGAAAACAAGAAGTTCTGATAAAAAGAAAGAGAGGGATTCTGGGGTAGGTGGATGTAATAAGAATTAAGCATCTGTTTTTTTTTATGTAGGTTTTAAAATGGATAGTTCCCACATTAAATGTTAATGTCTTTATTTTTAAGTAGATAACTAAAAATACATCAGGCATAACATGTTGATGCATGTAGATGGGCCTAATTAAAACTATGATTAAGTCTCTGATGATGTTCACTCCAAAAAAAAACCCAGCAATTTAGATACTATAATAAGAAAGACAACTCATAACAACTTAAGGTTGTAATTTTTGAGGTATGTTAATAGTGTAAGTGTGTAGTCTGAGTAAGACTCTGAATGCTCTCTAACACTACTGAAATCTGAACCCTAATAACATAAATATCTAGCTTAATTCAGAATCTAATTGGTCATCTGATTTGTTTAATGAAATTAAAAACAATGAAAATCCAACATACAACTACATAATCAGAATTTTAAACTGTACAAACACAAATATATTTTTTTTTTAAAAGTGTAAACTGTTTGTAGACATACTAAGACTATTTGTATTTACAATATTTTGCATTATTATTTTAGGAAAAAGAAAAAACAGAAAAGGAAGGAAGAGAAAGAGATAAAAGTAGGGATAAAGGAGAAAGAGAAAAAGACAGGCAAGAGAGGGACAAAGAAAGAGACAGACATAAAGACAGAGAAAAAGACAGAGAATCTAAGAGAGAAAGATCTAGAGAAGGGAGAGAAAGAGAAGAGAAACACACAGAGAAAGAGGAGAGACACAGGGACAAAGACGAAAAACGCAAAGACAAAGAAGTGAGACCAGAGAAAGAAGAAAAACAAAGAGATAAAGAAGACAGGACAAAAGAAAAAGCTAAAAAGGTTCCCTTTACTTTTATTTCAAATAAGAGGTCACTAAACATTGAATTTGTTTCCCAGTTTAATATTAGTTCCTAAATCGTTTTCTGCATTTTACAGAATTGCTAAAGCATTCAAAACTATAAAGAATTATTTAAAAGCATTATTATGTATTTGTGTGTTGATACACCTACATGCTTTGATAGTCTTGTCATTTCTTCCAAATTGTTAAATTTGTTGAAATTAGTCAGATTTTTTTTTATTTTTGTTATATTTTTTATTATTGGCTCTTGTAACTACATTTTAAAAAAAATAGTAATCCAACTTTTTAAACCAAGGTTCATTATTTGTATAATTTCAGACTGACAATAGTAAAGAAAAAGAAAATGAAGCCCCAAGTGCAATCAATGGGGAAAAAGATGAAACACAAGTTAGTACAGTATTTTTTTTTTGCAATGAAATAATTTTTTATTGTTTGTACCATTTACTTATGTAAGACATTTCTGAGCTCTGTATGCTAGCTCCTCTAGGCTGTAGACAGTCATAAACTTCCTTTCCTGTTGTTAAAACATGAAACAGTTTTATTACTGAAACTTAAAAACACTTTATTTTTTATCTTAAATTAATAAAAAAGTTTTTTGTTAAAATAACTGTTGATTTGTTTGACTGAAGGATGCTCCTGCCAGGCTTCAGAGACCTTCTTCAGCCAAAGGATCCAGACGCAGAAGGGAAGGTGAGTTCTGGCACCCTCTCCAATGTCATTGTGTGCGGTAGTGTGTAACATTCTGGTTTTTTTGTGTGTGTGCCATTCACTGGTTACTGCTCCTGCTGACATCATCACACACTGGCTTCTTTGTGTTTCTTCTCCAAGGTCTGTCATCTCATGTTACATCAACACACACTGTCATTTCAGATTTACATCCACACAAACTGGCTTCTCTGTATCTATGGCCTGTCATCTCAGATTATATCAACACTCTGTCATCTTAGATTACATCAACACACATTGGTTACTTTGTCATCTCAGATTTACATCAACACACACTGACTTCTCTGTATTTCAGTCTTCATCGCCTGTCATCTCAGATTAAATTGTTAGTATTTTATTGAACTGTGGGTTGGTGACTTGTATTTCTTTTACTCCCTGATTTCAATTATCACCTGCTTAAAACAAGGTCCTGTGGTTTTACATTCATTGATTGAAAACTGGAGCATATGAAAAGACAAAAAGCAAAACTGTAAAATCCACATGTGTTTTATAGAAGCCCACACGACATATCTCTTATTTGAGCTTATTTATCACTAAGTGCTGTTAGAGTTTAAATGCCTGAAATTTAAAGTTAAAAACCACTCCATTTCTATTTAAGTTTATCCATTAGTTTTTTTAACCATATTGTATTTTAATCCTTTTTCTTTGAGCAAAAAAATAAATCGGCAGCATTTTGTCTCAGCTTTTAGAAACTTTTAAAGCTATTTTCTCAAGCATTTCAGTTTTTTAGAAGTTTTCAAGTTCTGACTAGAATGCATTTAAAAATGTTCAGCTTATTTTTTTGTTTTGAGAATGTGTTGTGCTTAAGCTTGCGGGTGAAGATTTAAAGAACATAATTTATCCTTATACCAAATTTCCTATGTGGGAAAACTAATCATTTAGAATTGATCCTTATGCCAAAGTTCCTATGTGGGAAAACTAATCATTTCATTATTATGGCTTTGTTAACAGCTCAGAATCAGAGAGTGTTTGGTAAATATTTATTTTGCTATAAACTACATAACTGATTACCACAACATACTGTTCTACATATATTATTTGGTCTATAATCTCTTCTTTACCGGTTATAACCATATTAATATTTTTTTTAATCACTTGAAAAATTCAAGTGGATTGCTGCTTAATTTACTTGTGCATTTTGCTAGATGCTAGTAGACCTCTCTTTAGCCTTGAATCTCTAGTCTTGCTAATAATTGATTTGGATTTTTTGTTATTTTCAAGATCTTTCTTTTTGTGTGCATGTGTGTAGAAGTCTGTCAGGAAGTTCTCTTGCTCTCCGAATAGCTGGAATTTGATGCTATATTACTTCTGGAATGTTGCTGGTTTTAATAATATAGTAGCCGTCCATTGTGACAAGTATGAAGAATTGGGCTGCATGGGATGTTATTTACAAAATGGCATATAACCAAAACTAGTTTGAAATATTCATACAATCATAAGCACTTCTATTTTGTTAATAAAAGAACAGATTATTTACATTCAAATGATAATATTAAATATGACAGTGTTACATTGAAAAAAGGTTAATAGTTTTTAAGAGTTTTGTTTATGGTTGTTTAGTTTTACAATCACTCAGCAATTGTTTTGTTTGATTCACATCAGGCAAGAAGAATGGTGAGGGGGATGATGGGTTGGATGATGAAGGTATATTTTCACTCATGTTGTCAAATACTTTTCTTTGTTTTGTGTTTTTTGATGGTTGTAGAGAATGTCATGTGAGCGGTCTCCCCCTTTTTAATCATGAAACACATTTTTTTCATCAAGTTTAACAAATTGATGTTTTGTGTTAAGTGAAGAGATTAACAGTTGAGTTAAAATTCATTTAAAATTAAAGGACATTTTTGTTTCTATTTGCATGCACATTTTGTTTTCTTTATTTTTCAATTTATTTGTCTTTCTTTAAATGGAAACATCTGGATCATCATTAAACTTGAGACAATTTTGTCTAATTGTTGTACATCTGTATCTGGCATATAACATCACACAACTTCCAATTTTAAATGGTTCATGTCTTTATTTCTAGTTTACATGAGATTTCTTTCAAGATCATAACTACATATCAAAAGCATTTAAAAACATAGAAACCCTTTCAGTATCCAGTATATCTGCCCAATCTGCAGATATTTATTTTGGTCTTTATTTCTCAATAATTTCATTGTAATGTTTTATTTGTAGTAAAATTATTTTATTGTAAAACGTTTCATTGCACAAATGATAGTACAAATGAATTTATTTTCCTTGCTAAATTGGCTATCAGCTAATTTTATTGAATTGATTGTATTATGCACATATATTTCATTTATATTTTTCATCCCATTAAAGCTAGAATGTTTAACATTTTCCTTTATTGCTACTATACTAGAACTATACTATCTATTTTACTATTAGTATAGATACTTTTATAAGAACTCTCTAGCACATTAAAATCACAGACAGTATGGTTCATGAAATCTTCTCCACCACCTGAAGTTTATTTTTAAAATATTGAACAGCAATCTAAATTATGCAAAAATTAAATTTTAATTTGTTTAAAAGTAAGAAAAGCCTATGTTACAAATTTGCTGAAATATAGATATTTAATTTGACATTTTCTTACATCAGATTCCATTTGCACTAGTACTTAGTGGAAATGTTTGTGACCTTTGAGCTAACCATATATTTATGCTTGTAGATAAGTAGAAGAGAAGAAAAAAAATTTCATATAATATATCGGTTTGGTATTATCTTTTATTTCTTTTGGGCCCTTGTTTAATTAGTTTGTTTTCTATTTATTTTTTATTGTAAACTAGTCTTTTCCTGACACAAGATGCCTTTAGCCAAAAACACACTTTTTAAAATATTGATTTTAATAATGTTGGAAAGTATTGAGTATTACAGATGCACTAAACATTTGTTAGTTATATTTTTAAATTTTATTTCCCATAAAATACAACACATTTTTAAAACATTTTCAACAAATTGCTTTTCTTTTGTTGTGCCACTTTAGTTTTCAGATAATAAACAGTACATTTACATTATCAATTTTTTTCAAAAATGTAACTTTTGTTTACTCAAATCAACTTTATATCATCCAATAAACAGCATAATCTTTTTTAGTTTTTGGATTTTACTGTTAATTATGGTGTAACACGTATTTACTTATTCACTTTTTATTATTTAGAAGATGAAGAATTCCAGAAACCTTCAGCAGGAACAGATTCACAAATAGGAGAAGGTGACCTCCCTCCCCAAGTGATGGCAGCGTAGGTTTACACTCACTTCAATTGTTTTTTAAATATTAACGATAGAAATATACAAATCATTAAACTAAATTTTGAGAACAATTTTATGTTATCAATATAAAAAAAATTACATTTTTGAAAGATTTATTTAGAGATAAGATTTAATTAGTAAATGAATTTCAATTTCCAGAAATTTATACAAAATAATTGAGAATTATCAGACAAATTAGGCTTAGTGGGCGAAAAAATGGTTTTAGAGGCATAGCCTGGTTTGTGGGTAAGGAGAGGGGCATGTATTGGTAAATAGGTGTGTATATAAATTGGGAATTTTTATTTTTGGTGAGAAAACATTAGCCACATTCATGAAAATGGTCTGAGTTGGAGTGTTTGCCCCTCCTGGTTATGCCTCTGTTTTGTCTGTACTTAATTAATTGAGGATATTTTTTTTCTTTAGCCGACAGTTAGCAAGACCATCTAGTGCAAGACCCGCCCCACCTCGGCCCAAACAGGAAGCTGTTGAATCTGAGCCAGCTATGAGGTAATGAGCTCCTCAGTTTTTTAAGGACAATCCTCTATGTGTAACTGCTTAAGCCTGGAAGTAGAAGTATTTTTTTACCTTCAGACTAGCCCTAACTTTACAGTATAGCCAGCCATAGAGTGCATAATTAACCCAAGAGTCTTGAGTTAGTTCACTGACAATGAGTCCACTCAGCTCTGATGGGTACCTGACTCAAATTAGGGAACGTAAAGGCTATTAGTCATACAACTGACCACCCTGTCCCTTCATCTGCCCTATTGACCTTCAAGGAGTGAAGGGGTAACATTAGCCCTAGCTGACTGATACTAGTTGGAATAAGCATAGTATAGAGTATCAGAAGCTCCTTTTAAAGAAACAGCCCTCATGGTGGCTTGAACTATCAATTACATCAATTACAGATTTTGTTTAGATCAGCCATCTTGAATACACCATCTGTGTTTTATTACCATAGATTATTTAATAAAGAATTCCAAAGTATGATAGGGTCTGTAAAAGAATCTTCATTACTAGGATCATTTAGCAAGAAACATATTGACACTAAAAGCATTTACATTGTACAATTTGCATCTCTATAATATCTTTTCTTACAGGCTGGGTAGTGGAAAGCCAACCAACCTGATTGTAGATAATGAAGAAGATGATGATGATGAAAACTTTTTAGTTGAAGAATCTGCACCACCTTTACCAGATACAGATCTGGTGAGTTTCAATTTATTTGTCTCTAATGGCAATTCTAGTATGCAGCCAGGATATTTTTAAATCACACAAACTTGAATACTTTGTATTATTTGGATATTTTTAAATCACACAAACTTGAATACTTTGTATTGAACAACAGACTGTTGTGTACATTTTTTTATGATCAAGTTATTCCACAAGATAATTGATGACTAGTCTAGTATGATTTCGCACTATTTTTGTTTTCTCAGACACCCATAAAACCAACTGAAGATGATGATCATGAGCATGGTTAGTATTCATGTTTACATGTTGTAGTTTGATAGTTAATGATTTATTCTGTTCAGGGTCTAAAGACAATTATCCATTGGAATTTTATTTTATTTTTTGCACATTTTATTTATATGTGTTTATATTTTAATAAATACAATGTTCTCATTTTATTTTGTAGGTGCTTTAGTGAAAAAAATGTTGGAATCCAAGAAGGAGCTTGAAGGGAGTAAAAACCAAGTGGGGAAAAAGACAGAGATTGTTAGTACTGTTTTCCTTCAGTTCTAAAATAAATTTAAAACATTGTGTTGACTAAATGAGAAGCTATATTTTCCTAAATTAATGTTAAACAAAAACGTCCAACTGTGTCTGATATCTAAAATAAATAAAAAAGTTGTATTCACTAAGAAGTTATATTTTCCAAAATTAACAGGAGCGTCCCACAATGTCAGATGCTCAGCGCCGCAAACAGCGTGAAATAGTGCAGAAAGAAGTAGACAAGCTCCGAGCCAGTATACAAAGTCTAACCAGGAGTGCCAACCCATTAGGAAAGGTAACTCTAGACAACAATGTTAAATACTTTCAGCCTCCCATTAGTTTATTGATACATCATTTTTATTACTCAATTACTAACTAAATATACTGTGTTGTGTTTGGCTATTTCTAAATCATGATTTAAAATCCAACAGGTTATGGACTATGTCCAAGAAGATTTAGATTCTATGCAACAAGAATTGGACAAATGGCGAGCAGAGAATGCCCAACATGCATTGGATCTAAAGAGGGAAACAAAGTAAGATCTTTGAATTTCAAACATATTTTTTGAAAGTTTTATTAATGCCATGTTATTGTTTTATTATTTAATTTAGTGTATTGATTTTGTTTTTAAATTGCGAGGTTGAATATTTTTTTAAAAGTTAGTTAATGCATTCATTGTAAAGTAAGTAGCATTTTTTGCATGGCTTGTTTTAAAAATGTATCATTTTTCCAGTGTAACAGACAGAGCTGTTGAGCCCCTAAAGCAACAGTTGACAGAATTAGACAGAGCCATCAAAGACCAGCTTGACCAAATAGCAGCTACCAAGGCAAATATTATAAAAAATGACCAAAAAATACAAAAAATGTTGAAAGGGATTTCTAATTCTTGAAGTCAATTTAGACTAAGGTTTGAACTAGCTAGCATACTGTATAGAGCAATGTTTTTTGTGCAAGTTGTTATCAATATGACAATATCAAAAAGAATTATTTTTTTTACATTTTTTAATGTCAAAAATATAAATATTCTATAAAGATTTTAGTAAAGGAATGAAAAAAATATATCATATTCCTTTTTCTCATTTGTGAAAAAATATAAAAAGAAGGTTAAATGGACTGCGGAAATTATTATAGCCATTTTGGAATAAATTTATGATGTTAATTTCAATGTTTCATGATCAGTCTCAAGCCTTTTATTAATTTTAGCTGTGTACAATTAGTTGGTATAAAATACTTTTTACTAAAACAGGTTTTTCAATTCAAGCCAGATTTTTCTTAGGAACTAATTCCATTTATCTGTGATATAAATGTTTCAATGTTGTTTTGGTGAGAGTTGTATGAGTAAACAGGTGTGCGACCATTCGTTTTATATCTTCAAGTCACTTAATTTTCTTTGCTGGAAAATAAATCTGGATACTTTGTCTCAGCAGTTAACTGCATATTTTTATATCCTGGCATGTTTTTGGTGATCCACAATTTTCATTAGTTAAATGGATAGTTTCTCTTTAATTTCAATTACTAACAGGTAAAATTGATTCATCCTTTTAGTAGTTCACTCTCCAAAATTACTGATGGTTTTCTTTACCCATTGAAATCTTTGTACATTTCTCTTCTTGATGTGTCAACTTTAAAAACTAACATTATTCTCCCAAGTAATCTGATAACCTTGGTATAACTGCCTTTTTAAAAAAGTAGACCTATATAACTTAAACCCTTTTTAGCACATAGCATAGATCAAATATCTAATATTTAAAATTTGTAAGATGTGTGAAGTGGCTAGTCAAAAGCTTTGCCAAAAAATGCCAGACATGTTAGTATTTGGTCTAAAGACTGGCTGAATTTTACTCTTGTGGCACTTTTTCATCATATACAAAAATTGTAATTAATTTGACAAAAATGAAGATAAAATGACTAAATTTGTTACTGCATTTATACTATAGTGATATCCGTTTGGTTGATATCATGTTTTAACATGTGGATTTCATTTGAATGCAGTAATTGATAATAAAGTTTGGAAAGATATATTAGAATACAGAGCAGCATAGAAACCTCAAAAGACTATCTCTTAATATATTTTTTTTAAACTAGGTACTTTACCACATTTTACAGTTGATATATTTCTACACAACCAGAAATATAATATTCAGATAAAGCATAACAGTTGTTCTACATTAGTAAACAGTAGCTTACTTCAAAAATTATGAATTTATGTTTGTCTGATACTGGCTTGTCAGGTGGAGTAAATGTAAAAGAACAAGATTTGTTCTAAAATGATTGGTACGGAGTGCCTTTGTGAAATATGTCGTTGAATGTATTGACGGAAAATTTTATTTTTATGCCCACACTAACATTGTACATAAAAAATAGATTATCCACCGCTATTATTTTTGCTATTGCATAAATTATGGCAATAAAATTGTGATTATATTTGAATACTTATTGTTCTGTTTTTTTTTTCATCTTTAAAAAATTTATTGAGAATTTGTTGAAATAATTCCCTCATCAATCAACTTCCTACTGTACGACGTTTTGAATATTCTATATCATTGTAGCTCCAGTAGAGTATCTAGGTTTGGCTTTAATTTTAAAGTTGGTACTTAAAGATACCTTGAAACATTGTTATTTCAAAATGTTTTTCTTACAAGTTCTGTGCTGACAGCCGAACCAATTAAACCTAGAAATATTGGTAGTTTATTTGGGTATGGTGTACCTTGTCAGGACTGAATGCCGAATTTACATTTGTAATGGCCTAAATTATTGTTAATGAACTTTTAACAAGTGTTGAACAGATGCATTAATGGATAGGCCAAGACCTGTCATCAGTATTTTTTGTCAGTGGAGTATGCTGACAAACACAAGGGTTGATGTAAAGTCATGTTTCTAGCCTGTCTTAATGAGAGTCAGTTTGTATTTTTTTGTTGAGTTAAAAAAATTTTTTAAGGAGAGTTGAGTGAATTATGTCCAACCAGGATATGACAGCTGATGTTGACATTAGAAGTTGGGTGTATTTTGAAGTCATAAAGGATCAACACATGATTACCATATGCGACTGGTTTCTTTAAAAAGGGGACATGTTATTAGAACATGCAAACGATGACTTAACTAGTAAAAAAAAAACATTTAAGAAAAATTAAAGTTACTATCGTTTATAAGAGAAAATTTGGGAGAATTGTCTGTAAAAAATCATGGTCCTTGGCTACAGCCCTATCAGCCCCCACCCTTCTTTATCCGTTACGGCTAATAGCCAGAGTTTCTTCCAGGCATCTCTTCGGGGGAGGGGGGGGGGGCCGAAAAAATTCTACCGCCCCCCCCCCCCCCCCAACGAAATGAAATTGATATAATTTATATAGAAAATATATACTTTTAACAGTGTCCGCCCCCCCCTCCCCCGAAGAAAGTCTACCGCCCCCCCCCCCCCCCCCCGGAGAAAAACGTCTGGAAGAAACACTGCTAATAGCTTATCAGTAACAAAGAAAGTTGAATTCTAACCTCATAAACTAACTTCTCATACTGAATAAGACGCTAAGCCAGACCTACGATCGAGCCTTTAAACTCATAGTGCTTTGATTTTTATACTAAATTATGAAATCTCTAAGAACAGCCCATAATGATTATTTATTATGGCCTGCTCTTGAAAGAAGGGGTGTTAGGTTGCTGATGGAAATTATTTAAAAATTATGTGTTTACGCTGTAGGTCAGCTTTAGCAGAGTTTCTTCCAGGCATCTCTTCGGGGGGGCGAAGCCCCCCCCCCCCCCCGAAATTTTTTTACCGCCCCCCCCCCCCCCGAACGAAATGAAATTTATATAATTTATATAGAAAATATATACTTTTAACAGTGTCCGCCCCCCGAAGAAAGTTTACCGCCCCCCCGAAGATTTCAAGTGCACCCCCGGAGAAAAAAGTCTGGAAGAAACACTGAGCTTTAGCAGGGTAGGCCTATGTATTTCATTGGGTATTTCATTTCAAACTCATGCCCTTGCATTATTGATCTACGTGGTAACGCTTCTATGGTCAAATTACTTGAATTTTCTGTTTCGAGATTGCAATTAAATATTCTGTACGTGAAGAAAAAACTTTCCTTAGTCACTGCTATTAGCGTCTACCCAGGTGAACTATCGCGATGTAGCGGAACTCATTCGATGTAAACAAGTTTGACCTAGTTTAATGGAAATTTCCGAAAAGGTTCACTAGCCTAGTTAATTTTCCACTTGCGCCCCATAGTATACCTACCCTAGAGGTCTAGCTCAATCAAAACACTTTGTGAAGTTGGAGGGATCGTGTGAGTGTTGGAGCTGCTGTTTTCGAAAACTTATGACATTTTGTGTTTCCTCTAGACTCTAGATCTGGACTAGATTTTGAATGTTATTGATTTTATGGATATTTATTAGTTTCTAGATCTAGTCTTCTTGAGTAATCTTGAGACTTGCTGTGTATTTTGTCGATCTGCGCTTGTACATTTAATACATTGGTACGTTATATCTAGATTCTAGATCTAGATTTAGTTGTTACTCTGATAGTGTTAGATCAGCAAATTTTGAAGAAAACGCAAATATCTAGGGCGGGACGTTAGAAAAACTTGGCATGGACATTAATCATAATAAATAAGACACTTTATTAATTTTTAGGCGTATCTAAAACTATCTTTGACTTCTAATCAAGATATGTTAATGAATAAAAGAGGAGTTTTAAAGATCAAACGTCGTAAGTTCTGCTTAACTGTCTACTATTCTTTCAAAAGTAAGTAGATCTAGAGAAAGAGTAGATTATTTTTGTTTGATGATGCCTTTTAATTACTTTATGATACTTTATCATTAAGGCCTAATATTAATAATATTAAAGAAATAAAAACATACTTAAATGAGCCCATTAATTATTAATACCATATTAATATTATTTTATTATTATCGAAAGGCATTATAGATCTTCTATATGAATTTGCTATTCTGCTGTAACTCACGGTATAATTTATTTATTTTTACCAATTTATAGGATCTATGTGTAAATCCAATTTACAATTATTACGGTATCATACATAGTCTAAAGTGGAGGTAGTCTTGATTTCTTATCATCATGAGGATATCAGTGTCTCGCCTAAGTTTAAAACTAATCCAATTCTCCGAGGCCGTCACTGAGCAGTGGCTGGAGCACTATTCACGTTTCAATCCATCACCTGTTTCTATTCAAAGATTCCTTGATTTCGGTAAGTCTATGTTTGTCTGTAATTATTTAGTTGATTGGCATAATTGCTGCTATAATTGTATGCCATGTAACAAAAATAAAATTAAAAACTAATAGGGGCCTATAAATTTATAAATCTAGCATTTAAAATTGGCAACGTAAAACGTTGAAATTGCACTGTGGACCTGATATTTGAACTTCGAACTAGGAGGATAATTTAGTAATTTAGATCACTGGGAAAACCCGAAGTGAAACGAGTGTTTACTACTACTAGGCTAAGGCTAGCTCTAGCGTAATATAGATCTAATAACCTATATTTTTCAGAAGGTTAAAAATAGCAATGCTTAGTATAAAAACTTGTTATTAATCAAAATACGCTACTTATTAGGAGAGGGGGTAAATTGAATTGAATTAAATATTTTCTACATTATTATTCATTATATTTACACTCCAATATATATTGACCATGTTCTATAATCCATGTTAACATTATCTATATTTTGAATTTTGGTTTTCTCTCCCCCACCTCTACTCAAACAACGTCCTATTTGAAAGTTAACAATTAAATAATAATAGGCCAACTATGATAACAATTAAGATCTTGATCTATGTGTTTTGTATTTGAATTTATATTTTTAACTATAATCTATTCTATGCCTAACTCAAATTTTAAGTACGTTTTTATTGTTTTCAAAAAATAAAATGCCCAAAACTTAGGCCAGCTAAAGACTAAGATAAATAAAATCTCCCACTTCAGTTTTCATTGAACGTGACTTTATCTTAATTAATAGGTTATTGGCATAGCGACAACAATTACCGCCAGTATATGCCTAATCTGGAATCTATAATATAAGCGGGCTGAGCGTGTCCTTCCTTCCTTCCGTCCGTCATCGCTATAGATTTTGGGACTATAAAAGTAAACTACGCACCATGCTGTGCTTTTCAGTGCACCGCAGTGTCTTATTATAAGTAGTAGAGTAGGGTTTGTTTATATAGCCACATAGCGCTATTTTATAATTGCCACTGTGTTTACTCTTTTGCATAACTTAAAGAAAATATTAAATACACGAAAATGGCTAAAACATACTTAAAAAATCAATGTTAAATATCATTTTCGTTTATATTCTTAGAAAAAATGGATATATTTTCATGAAAGTAGGTCGAA